AAAAAGCAAAATTCAGTATCATTATCAACAACTGAAGCAAAAAATATTGCTACTAGTCTTGTATGTGCTCAAATTTTATGGATAAAACAAACATTATCTGATTATTATATAGTTTGTCCCACATCATCTATAATGTATGATAATACTAGTGCCATTAATTTATCTAAAAATCCTATTCAACATTCATGTACAAAACATATCGACATAAGATATTATTTTTTACGTGATAATGTGTTAAAAGGTGATATTTTTTTAGATTTTTTTCAACCGATAAACAAATTGCTGATATATTAACAAAACAATTAAAATAAGAAATATATGTTAAATTAAGAAGAGAATTAGGTATATGTTCTTTGGAAGATTTAAATTAAGTTTTAAAATCAATACATATGCATTTTCAGTCTTAATAGTTGACTAATCTTGTTAGTAGTTGACTACCTGCACATATATTGCATATATTATATACTGTTAATTTCTAAGTAGTCAACTAATAAGAAAAGTAATTGACTAATAAAAAAACTAAAAATAAAAAAATTATTTTATGTCGATTATAGAGTAGTCGACTAATCTCACTAGTAATCGACTACAAAACCTACAGTTTCATATATCCACTTGTTTTGGATATTGGATTCTTTACCCATCAAACTCAAAACCCAATACCCATTAAACTTAAGTTAAATAGATCATAACCACTCATTTTTTACCTGATGTATCCTATCCTTACATCATTTTAACTTAGATCAAATCTCAACTTTTAATGTGAATTTTTTGATCAAATCTTAGCTCTTCATTTATAACTAAAAGAAAACTACACTAAATCAACAACTATCCACTTCATCCTCTTCTAAAAACCGACAACAACTCTACCCCTCATCAGACCACCGTCATCCAAAGTTAGGGCATAAACAAAATCTTAAATTTTCCCAAAAAATCTGTCAAAATCAGTTATTTCTAAGTTCTTAAGTACTTAGTAGTCGACTACAATCAGTATTAGCCGACTACTAACATTAATTAGCGCTTCTATAGTTTGGTAAGCTCTCTTCCATTAATAATTTTCAATTTTGAATTTACTCCATGTCTAGATCAAAAAGACCTAGGTCAGGTACTTCGGGTACTACAAATATTGTTGAGGATTACGCTGTTTATTTGAAAGATCCTTCCTTGATTGAACGTTTCAAAACTTTCTCAAATTTAGAAATCCTACCTGGTTGATTTGTGAAATTTGATGAATTTATCACTCATAATTTCAGTTCTTATTTTGAAAATGTTGGACTACTTGAATTATTTTCATCCGAAAATAAAAAGCGTCATTATCCACTGTTAGTTTAATTGTTTTATACTAATCTTACTCGTCTTGAAACAATTGACAAAACCAAAAAGATTAACACTCTTGTTAAGGGTATTGAGATCAACTTGACTCCTAAAACCATAGGAAAAATATTCAATATCCCATATCAAGGTGTTCCTCTTCGTAGTATCAAAATGAGAGATGAAAATGTGCTTCAAAATCTAATTTTTCTTTCGGGTCATGGTTTACCATTGAATCATTCAAATAAACTAAAACCAATTCCTCATTTCATTGCTCGAATTTTATCATATACTATGTTTCCAAAAACAGGAGTTTCCATTTCCTTTCACTGGACTTAGCAAAAGCCCTATATGTCATAATGACAAATATTCAAGTTAATTGGGCTGAAGTCTATTTTGATTATCTTGTAGTTATTGCTAGAGGGTTTCTTCCATTTGGAGCATTTCTAACAAAAAATTTTGAAATTTTTCATGTGGATCTTGAATCTGAAAATTCAATGGTTCGTACTGTTGAACTCTTTAACTCCAATGCCCTAACTAGGATGAAATTAACAAGTTTTGAACTCCATGAACAAAACCCTCAAGAAGAACAACACCCTACACAAGAACCAATGCCCCAAGATATTCCACAAGCCTCTCATGAAGCTGGACCCTCAACTAGCCACTTTCCCCCACTAATGAATGAACCTTCTTACTTCTCTGACGCACAATACAATACTTTATCCACAAGAATACTTGATTTGGAATCTGGACAAAAAAGCAAAATGTATGATCAAAATGTACTTGTGCTGAAGAATCAAGAGGCATTAACAAACAAGTTTGATATCCTGGAGCTGAAATTTGACATAATGAGCATGAAGATTGACACATTGGATATGAAGCTCAGTGCCTACTTCCAAGAAAATCAACCTCCACCAGGACCATCCAATTAGAAGCCCATGCATGCATCATTTAGAATAGTTTCAGTTTGTGTTGACAAAAACAATTAAGTACTTAGTATGTTTGTTTGTTTAAATTATGTTAAAAACTATGTGTTGATGTTTGCTTAAAACTTATGTATGTTGCTACTATGTTTCTATTTACATGTTTAAAACTATGTATGAGTTAATGTTTATGGGTAGGCAAAGACTGACCATAAATACCAAAAGTTCAACAATATCCATCTTCACAATCTGTTTTTAAGATAAGTAGCTCATGAACAAACTATAGGATATAAACAGACCAAACATGATAAAAAGATGGATGGATGAAGTAATGGACTATGTTCACACTCTAGAAGATCTTTTTAAAGTATTGGCTCATGAAGAAGATATTATGACATGTTTAGAATAGATGTTTATTTCTTTTTGGTAATGACAAAGGGGGAGAAAATGGTATCAATGTTATGCTATATAGACTCAAAAATATGAATTGTAGACTCTAATATGCTTTTATGCAGGGGGAGTAAGCATAATTGTTCATAAATGTTTAATTCTTTTAGAATATACTTACATATGCATAAATTATTTGTCATCATAAAAAAAAGGGAGAATGTTGGATATAATGTCCCCAAGATATAATTTTGATGATAATAATTTATTCATTATGTGAATTCATTATGTGAATTACTATGTGTATTATTGTGCACTAACATTTCAATGCAGCTATCAACATTAAATATGAACAAGTGCAAGATGAGTTCAAGGCATCATGAAGTAAAGAAGATGAAGAGCTTATACATTAATGTAATTTTTATATTTTCTTTGTACAAGCCTTGATCACTCACATATACACACACATAGAGATTAGAACACACTAACACAGGCTTAGTGTGTTGGTTAATAATAGAAATCCCCTACGTTAACCATTATAGTATTTAGTTAATTAATGAGTCTAAAAATATTTCATACATTACATTGTCACCCCTTAGTAGTTGACTAATTAGAATAGTAGTCGACTACTGAAGTCTTAGATTAAAATATAAGTTTCTAAAAAATTACAGTATAGTCGCATATAACTGATAATTGTCGACTAATAAAGACTTAGACAAAAACTTAGTTTCTATAAAAATACAGAGTAGTCGACTACTAGGCATTATAGTCGATTACTAAGATCTAATTTAGAATTCCAGATTTTCTGTATTTACAGAATAGTGGACTACTAAGAATTATAGTCGACTATTCAGCTTCGAATTTTGAATTCCGGACTTTCTATTTTACATTGTAGTCGACTAATGACTATAGTAGTCGACTACTAAGAAAAATCCTGAAATTACAGAAGTTATTTGAACTCAGAGTAGTCGACTACAACAACTATTAGTCGACTACTAAGATAATTTTCTGACATTTTAGATTTTGAATAAGTGACTGTTTATAGTCGTTTTGTGTACATTTTTTAAGGTTTGAAAACTTGTCTTTTCAAGAGCTATAAATAGGTTACAAGTTCAGAAATTTTAATCATTCATTCCTATCCATAAGATTCAATTTTTGTGCATTCTCAAGAGTTCAAAATATTCAGATTTTCACTAAGTGTTGAGAAAAAGCATTCAATGAGTTAGCCTTTAATCTTCATCCAATATACAATCAAGTTAGGCAAATTTCAAAGATTTAAAACATTCCTAAGTCACTGCTACACATCACAATACACTCAAGGCTTATAGGAATCGAGTTGTTATAAGGCAAGTGTTCTCACGGATGTGAGAGGTGTAATCTCTTGGTGAAGAGATTGTGTGCAATTTTCATGGTCTTGCAAATTATTCAGGTTTGCTGTTTGGTTTTGTAAGTTTTTTAAAATCATAGTGGAACTCTCAAACGAGATTTTCTTGGGGACTGGATGTACACCTGGGAGGTGGAACCAGTATAAAATACTATGTTTGGGATTATGATTTTTTGGGATTGTGCTATCTTCTTTGCAAATTATAATCTACTTTGCATAACTTTTAAAAGGGATCCTACATATACAATTTAAGTTGTTTACTAATAGTATAATAAACTAATTATGAAATTTAAATGCAGTTACTAATAGTATTATAATTATGCCATGTACAATATTATTATATTTAAAAGAGAATACATTATTTAATATATTATAATTGTTTTAATTAATTATGAATAAATTATAACAATTATCTAAACTATAATAATGAATCGTATAATTTTTTATACATAATTTTATCGTACAATCTATTCATTTAAAAAAATTATAGTTGTTTAGAATTTTTATTGCTGCACAAGTCATTTCAGTATTTTGCAGACAACAAAAAAAAAATTTAAAAACATAAAATAAAATAGGTATGCTCACCTGCAAACCAGCGTCCACTATACTAGTCTATATTTTATCTATTAAAACTCTTACCATTGCAAACGCCACGTGGCAAATTCCCCTTTTTTTAAAAAAAAATTCTTAAAATAAATTGAAACCAGATTCTTTTCTCTAATTAATTCCCTTGCTCTAATTAATTCCGCCATTAAAGCTTGGTTATAGTTTTTTCCCCTTTCTTCATTTCCCATGCTCACCTCTTCGTATTCCTCTCCTAGAGAAAAGCCCTCCGCCTCTTCGTCTCCGTCAAACTTACAAATGTGCTCCGCCTTGAGAACCCAATCGTCTTCGTCAATATTTTAATCAAAATCCCTAACCCGAGCCCTAGCATCTTCGCCTACTACCAGACGCGATCCGAGCACCACGCTGTTGTTACCAGTGACTGGCTCTCATCGGTTGCTGTCAATTCGTCCACTCCGTCGCTGTCATCGTCGGAGGACTCCGCTGGGGGAGGTGGAGGGAGGGCGTTTAGTGTGATTGATGAGTTCAGTTTCTGGAGGAAGAAGCCGGATTTGGCTGAGGCTGTGGCGGCGATCATGGCGCTTGCGGCGGTGATTCGGTCGAGTGAGGCGACGACGACGATGGAGCTCGAGATCGAGCTGAAGCAGGCGTCTGATGCGCTAAAGGTTGATTCTTTCATCCTAGAATTTTATTAAATGACTTACTGTTGGTATTGTTTCCATTACTATGTGACTTTTTATTATCGGATGTATCAATAAAATTAGATTATGTACCTCTTATTGTGTAATCTGTTCTTGTGTAACTAAACTCACGGTCATAAACGTGAAGGATTGTTTATCGATTGATTTCAGGATGATCCATACGGGCATTATGCCTGATGAAGACGAATCATACAATTTGGTTATTGGTCTTTTAATATGAAGAAACCAAATTGATTTAGCTGTGAAGTTTTTGGATTTAATGCTTAAATCTGGCCACATGATTTCATCAAGCACATTTATGGATTGTGTGTGGCGCTGCTTGTCTGCTCGGAGTCTGGACACTTTATCAACCATCATACAGAAAATGCAAGGCATCAATGTCAGGTTTAATTCAAATCTCCAAAGCAGATAAATTAATATGCTCCAGAATCTCATTTAAAGTTTGCAATTGACTTGCATATGTTTTCCATTACTATGTTAGGTCTTAGACTGACCTATAAACTTTTAATGTCTTTAATTTTGTTGTGTTGATTTCATTGTCTACATTGATCATGCATCCTTATCTGTATGCTTTCAGACAAGTGACCTGAACAAGGCCTTGAGTCCTAACTGGAACATGTGTAACACTATTGCTGATGTTGCATTGCAAGCTGATAATAGCAAATTGGCTTACTATGCTTTGGAATTTCTTTATCGATGGATTCATCATGGAGAAATTGCTAGACCACCTACTCATCTTTCTGTCGACAAAGGATTAGTTGTTTCAGCTCTTGGTGCTACAGCTAGAACATATAATTCTAACCTTCTAGATGTGTCGTGGTCAATCCTGCGTCGTTCCCTTCCTCAAAAGAGGGTACCAAGTCCAGAAACTTACCTCGCAAAGATTTATGCGTATGCATCAATTGGGAATTTGCAACGTGCTTTTGCTACCCTTAACGAATTTGAAACTGTGTACGGGAGAACGACTGCTACCGATTCAGACTTATTTTCTCCTTTTACTTCATTGCATCCATTGGTTGTTGCTTGCTGCAGAAACGGTTTCTCAACCTTGGACCAGGTAAGCCTCAGATTCTTTTTTAAAATAATTTTAACATCACCCTGCAATTCTTATCTTGAATACTTAAAAGAAGATTATTTGTCACAGATTTTACTTGTCAAACTGAGGGTTTGTTTCAGAATTGCATTTATACTGACACTTCACAGTATATAATGTTCCTTGCTATTGTTTTTCTTTGTATTTATTATCTTCTAGAGTCTTGACTCATCGGTGGTATAAGTTTTTTTAAGAAAGGAACAAATTTCTCAGAATTAATTATAATACAACTTTGCCTTATCAGCTCTTATAAGAAGTTATTCAAATTGAACTACAAAAGCATTGTAAATTTGCAACAGTTGATTGGATAAATTGGATATTACTTTAATCTTATGCAACTATGAGCATTGTACTAGTAAGATTTAATACCATTTTTGTTCAATAGAAGCCTGATGAATTTAGATTGTCAAATAAATGGAAAAAGACTCACTTGCATCCAGTGTCATCAAAGGTGCGCGCCTCACGAGGTCTCATTCGCCCTGCGATGTGGGACAGTGGCAAAACGCCCCACATTTGACGCAATAATGTATTTTGCGCTTCGCAAGCGACTTTTGCTTATGCAAGGCATAACCTTATATTTTTTTTGTTCTTTAACATTTCACTTGTGACTACTATACCCGATAACCCATATCCCAAAATAGCAAAATAAACCCTTAATCCTTTTTAGTAGTATAATTCAGGACACTAAAATTCCTCTTTGATATTAGTCTTAATTTGACTTATTTGGAAAACTGTGAACTTCACTACTATGTGTAAGACCTCGTAGATTTTGATAATTTATATATGTGATTATTAGTAAAAAATAATATTTATTTATGATAAATACCTTTATAACATGGTTGTGCATGAAAACTAGCGTTTTGAGCTTATGAGAATGTATTTATGCATCAGTTATGAGGTTGAGTTTGCAAATTTGCAAATCATGTGCAGCAGAGTCGAAGAACCCAGTTTTCAGCTCATGAGTCGACCCATAACTCATCATGAGTTGACTCATCAGGTTGAGTCGACCCATGACTGTCATGAGTCGACTCATGATATCAATTCCCATTGTCAAAAGTCTCTGCTGAGTAGACTCATTATCTTATGAGTCGACCCGTGAGTCATGAGTCGACCCATGAGTCATGAGTCGACCCATGAGTCATGAGTCGACCCATGAGTCATGAGTCGACTCATGACAGTCATGAGTCGACTCATCGAGGGTTTTATGGTTTTTGTGGATCGGGTTTGTTTGGGTTTCGGGTCGGGTTTTAATTGTTCATATATATTCTCCTCCACCCGAAAACACCTCTTTTCATCAGTTCTCCCCAAAGAAATCCTAGCCTCCTCTCCCCCTCAAAATCCTAGTTCGTTTTTGGGCATTTTTGGGAGATTTTCGGGGGATTTCAGCAGCTTCTTGTGGTTTGCAGCGAAGAGAATCATTCTTCAGCATACCTAAGGCGAGTAGCATCTCGCCCAATCTTTTTCCCACGTTTTTAAGAGTTTTTTCTTAATGTTTTCATGAGGTTTATTGAGCTTAAGAAGTATTTTCAAGTATAAAATCGATGCTCTTATTAGTGTAGATGTTAAAATCATGTGTTTAAGATTTCAAAATCCTCACCAACGAATGTTTTTGATGAAACCCAGATATGGGAATTTATTTAAAGAATATAAATATGAGTTTTTATTTCGATTACATGCTCTCATACATGTTTAGGGATTTAATGTTAGATCTAACATGCAAGATTTTCATTTTCCATATTTTATACGAATTTTACACTATCTCATATGTTTAGAACTGATAATATATTGTTTGGGTTTGATGAATTCGATTTTAGATGAATTTTTGCAAAAATAACACAACATGCACGAACAGGGAAAACCCATCTGTTCAGTCGTTTGTGAGTCGACCGATGCCCCCAGTCGACTGTGAGTCGACTGATGGCCCTAGTCGACTGACGAGTGATTTATTTTTATTTCTGTTTCTGTTTAAATCACCTGCTGTATGAGACATTTGTCACAAGCTTTGATCTGTACATCGAGACACGTGCAAGAATAGGATATGTTTTCTTTAATAATTGCATTCTGTGTTTTATATACACAGTCCTCGTGTTGGACTATAATCCATCAAAGTCCTCGTGTTGGACTATAATCAATTAAAATCCTCGTGTTGGACTATAATCCATCAAAGTCCTCGTGTTGGACTATAATCCATTACAGTCTTATGTTGGATAATTGCTAAACCTTGAGTATGTTTCTTAACCGAGTTTGGAACACGACATATTATATGAGGCTGGGACATGATAGCTACCTAGGCTGAATATGTCTCTTATTGTAACTTTGACATGTTTACGTTTATCGGTAGAGATGTGTTTGTTTCCTTTTCTTTATTGTTTCATGTATTACACTTCGGGTTTGGTATTTAGGGATTTACAATTTGAGATACAATGTATATACATGAGGGTTTTCTTGTTTGGATTATTTCGCTCGACGTACCTATGCTCATGTTGTAATTTCCTAAGTACCGAAACCCATTATTGTTAGGATTAATGATCTTATATTATTATGTATTAACTGTATTTTCATATACAATGAGCCATATCCCTTGGGGTTGGTTGTGATGTTGCTCGCTAGCGCTTTGACGCTCGTTGTCCCTCCCCCTTTCAGGTAACGAGCCAGGAGCCCGGAGAGTCGTAGGTTGAGGGCGATTCTTATTAGCGCCCGTTTATCCACTTATTAGATGTATATTATTTTTGTACTCCACTTGAGATATTTTTAGACTTGAGAGATTTATGTTCTAGAGTTGTAAAGGCTACGTGCCTTATTTCATGTATCAAATGTTATGTACTTTGAGACATGTTGAGATCTTCAGACTGTTATTATTCATTTCAGACATTGACTATGTATTCCAGTTTATTTAGTTGATGAGATTTATTAATTTGAGTTCCATCATTCTATCATTTATTTATTGTAGAATCTTTTACTTGTTTTGTACCTACACCTGTTGTTGATTCTACTAGAGATATAGTAATTGTGATGGTGAAACATCTTATTGCACGGTGTGGTGCATGGCAGGTTTGACATTCCTGGTTTCACCTCGGACTGCAGCCTTGTGTGAACCCAGGGGCGTCACACTATGTTTGATGTGTTAGCTTTAGAAACTGAGATCTTATTTTATGATTTCGCATTAGATATTATTTATCTTGCCATGTGTTAAATGTGAATATTCATAAACATGTTCTTTCATGCTTGATTATCTATCTTGAAAATTTATCTGTTTGGTATACCCTCGCTGTTAGGGAATCCGAAACAATCAAATCGGATCCTTGCCTTTCCGGACCTTGTGTTGAAAGTAGGAAAGTAGGAAATTCATCACAAATAAAGATCAAAACTTGTAAAAGAGTAAAGGAGACGAACACACAGATTTAACGAGGTTCGGCAACGTGCCTACGTCCTCGGGACAATTTCTTTGATTAATTGAAGAAGAATTACAAGCTCTCAAACTAGGGTTTTATCTCTCTGAGATTCTCTCTCTTTCTGTAATAAAAAAGCTCTTTTTTTCGTGTCTTACAAACCCTAAAACGTTTGGGTATATATACAGAGTCCTGAAAGAAACAGAATCCAAAACAGTTTAGGAAACTATTTGACTGCGTCGCGATCGACAGTGACGGTCGACTGCGTAGGTATTGTGGTCGATCGGACACCAGTCATGGTCGACCGTATCAAACGAAAAAGCCTAAAAAATCCTACAGGGTCCGCGCGGTCGACCGTCTTCTGCTCTAGCTTCTCCTGAGCTCCTGTTCACGTTCGTAGTCGACCGCCGCGGTCGACCGTGCAGGTCTTCTCCTGATTTCTTTGGTTTTCTCCCTCGTTTTTAATTCCAGCTCAGGCTTCGACTTTGAGTCTACACTTTAGACTAATAATCTCTCACTTAGAGACTAAAGTGCCATCAGCGAGTTCACCCGAACTCTACCCTTTTCGCAAGTATCTTCTCCTCCCCAGAAAATTCCTTTCAATAATATCCCGATGATCTCGTCGATCCTCGTAGTGTGGCTCCGTCTTCGTCTTCTACTCGTGAAGGCCAACTGAAGTTGCGCACAACTCCAGTTTCTCAATGGTGACTGCCTTCGTCAACATGTTCGTCGGATTTTGACTCCCTAAAATCTTTATTAAATGTAACTTTCCGTCTTTAACTAGCGAGTGTATAAAATGATATTTGATGTCGATGTGATTCGTTCTGACATGATATACTGGATTCTTGGCAAGATGTATAGCATTCTGGCTATCACAATAAAGAACTCCTCTCCCTTACTTCAGATCCAACTCTTCCAAGCACCCATTCAATCAGATCATCTCCTTGCTTGCTTCGGTCATCACGACATACTCAGCTTCGGTTGTAGATAAAGTCATAATCTTCTGCAGAAGTGAGACCCAGCTCACTGCTGTCAACGCTAATGTATAAACATACCCCTTGGTGCTTCGTCTCGTATCATGATCACCGGCGAAATTCATATTCATGTATCCCTGTAGCACCAACTCCTTCCTCCTGAAACATAGTGGTTTATTTGTTGTTCCCCTCAAGTACCGTAATATCCACTTCACGGCCTCCCAATGTTGCTTCCCCAGATTGCTAGCAAACCTGCTCACAACTCCTACTGCATGGGCGATGTCCGGCCTCGTACAAACCATCGCGTACATATGACTCCTAATAGCCAAAGAATATGGTACCCTACTCATATGTTCTCTATATGCATTTGTCTTAGGTGATTGCTCTTCAGATAGCTTAAACTAACTTCCAATGGGCGTACTAACAACCTTAGCATTCTGTATATTGAACCTCTAAAGTACTTTTTCAATGTATTCAGCTTGGCTTAATCTTAAGTCCCTTCAGCTTCATCCCTACTGATTCGTATCCTTAAAATCTGCTTCGCTGCACCCAGATCCTTCATTACAAATTCCTTTGCTAGTTGCTTCTTCAAACTATTTATCTCCTCTGAACACGATCCTGCTACTAACATGTCATCAGTATATAATAACAAGATAATAAAGTTGGACTCGAACCTTTTGAAATAACAGCAATGATCCGAATTGCATCTTCTGTAGCCATTGTTTTGCATGAAGTTATCAAACTTCTTTTATCACTGTCTCGGAGCCTGTTTCAAACCATATAAGCTCTTCTTGAGCTTGTACACCATCTCTTCCTTTCCTTTTCCAATGAAGCCAACATGATGCTTCATATAGATTTCTTCATCCAAGTCACCATGAAGAAAGGCAGCTTTCATATCTAACTACTTAAGAAAGAGGTTTTCTGCAGCTACCAAACTCAATACCACTCTAATGGTTGTGAGCTTCACAATAGGAAAAAATATCTCTGTGTAGTCCACTCATTCTCGCTGTTGAAACCCCTTCACTACTAATCTGGCCTTGAATCTCTTGCTTCCATCACTCTTTTGTTTGTAGACCCATTTGTTATGTAAGGCCTTCTTCTATGCAAGTAGCTGGGCTAACTCTCATGTCTTATTAGTGAGTAGAGAATCCATCTCCTCCTATATCGCATGCTCCCACTGCTGAGATTCACTCACTTGCATTGCCTCTTCATAGCACTCCGGCTCACCGCTATCTGTCAATAATAGATAGTCAAGAGAGATATCTGGGATTTAGTTTGGGTACCCTGGATGACCTCTTAAGCTCCATGCCCTGGGTAGTTTCTTTTGCACCTGGAGCCTCCTCCATTCTGTGGTCAGAACAAACATCATCACCCCTATCTGGAAGTTTCTCTATATCCATGTACTCGGATCCACCTGCATCTGAAGTGCTGCTCCCACTGTTTTGGCTATCCCTGGTATTTTTTATGTTCTTGTACATCACCTCCTCATTGAATATCACATCTCTTCTTCTGATGATCTTCCTGTTCTTCTCATCCCAAAAACGATACCCGAACTCATCAATGTCGTATCCAATGAATGTGCACTTCTGTGACTTAACCTCTAACACGTCCCTGACGTGATCACTGATATGAACATAAGTCATGCAACCAAATACCCGCAAGTGTGAGAGACTTATCTTCTTTCCACTCCAAACCTCCTCTGGAATCCTAAAATCCAATGAAACTGATGATCTGTGATTAATGAGGTAAGTTGTCATATGCACCGTATCCGTCCAAAATGTCTTAGGCAGACCTGCATGTAATCGCATGCTCCTGGCACGCTCTGTCAAGGTTCTGTTCATCCTCTCTGTAATGTCGTTCTTGCTGCGGTATCCCTAGAGTAGTCATCTCTAAGCGAATATCATTCGTAGCACAGAACCTCTTGAACTCCTCCAGCTCGTATTCTCGATCATTGTCTGATCTCAGACACTTCACCTTCAGATCTGTCTCGTTCTTCACCATGACCTTCCACTTTTTGAAGACTCCAAACACCTCTGACTTGTGCTTCATGAAATAGATCCACACCTTTCTCGAGTGATCGTTGATAAAGGTGATATAATATCTCGAACCGCCAAAAGAAGACACTGGCTGAACCCCATATATCTGTATGAATCAACTCTAGCTTCTGAGCCTTAGGTGGTCTTTCACCTTTCTAGAAACTAACCCTCTTCTGCTTCCCAAAGATGCAGTCTTCACAAATCCTGACTTCCACGGCGTTGATCCTGGTTAGCTTCCCTGTGAATGTAAGATCTTCATCCCCTTCTCGCTCATGTGCCCTAGCCTGTTGTGCCACAGATCTATACTCTCTTTGCCAGCCGCAATTGTGAGGGCGTCACTCGTATGTAAGGTGAGGTAGAGAGTTCCTAATTTGTTGCCTCGAGCAACAACCATCATACCGTTGAAGATTCTTCACGAATCTCATGTGAATGTCGAAACATAGCCTTCTGCTCCAAGCTGTCCCACTGAAATAAGATTTCTCTTCAGCTTCAGCATGTGTCTCATGTTCTTTAAGGTCCACTTAGAGCCCTTCATCTGAATCTGCACTTCATCCTTTCCAACAATATTACATGGCTCGTTATTCCTCAAATACACCTTTCCAAAGTCCCCTGCTATATAATTCTGAAAAAGAGATTCCTGTTAGCAGTGGCGTGGAAAGTGGCTCCTGAGTCGATGACCCAAGAATCTGAGTCACTATCCATAGCAAGGATCAAGGAATCCTGCACGATATGAGCCTCCTACTCACCCGCATTCTTCTTTGGACTCTTGTAGACTGAAGACATATGGCCCTCCTGGCCGCAATTCTAATACTTCCCTTTAATAGGCCTAACCTTCGAGTTCGGCCTTTTCTTCACTGACTTCGACCGATTCCTATTCTGGTTTCCTTTCTTCTGGCTTCTGCCTCTCTATTCAAAGTTTAGGGCTGAACCTGAACCTTCTGATTCGGACGATTTCCTTCTAACCTCCTCAGAAAGAATCATGCTAACAACCTCACTTAGCTTTAACTTCTCCTTTCCCGTCGAATTACTGATTGTCAACACACAACCTGCCTAACTATCCGGCAACTACGATAGAATTAATAGGGCTTGCATTTAGTCATCAAACGTGATGTCTACGGAGATAAGCTGATCAACAATCATGTTGAACTCGCTGAGGTGCATCGTGAAGGACCGTCCTTCTACAATCTTGAGATTAAAAAGAGTTTTGACGAGATGCACCTTATTTGCTACCGACGGTTACTCGTACATCTTCACGAGCGCTTCCATAAGCCCCACCGTCATCTTCTCCTTCAATATGTTATGGGCTACTGATTTAGCGAGCGACAATCGGATTTACCCTAGAGCCTTCCTATCCAGTATTTTCCAATCACCATCTGACTCCTCTTTCTTCTGTCCTTTTTCCTTACCCATCAGCGGGCGATACAAGTCCTTCTGGTACAGATAGTCCTCCATCTGCGACTTCCAGTAGGCGAAGTCTGAGCCGTCAAACTTTTCGATCTTTAATTTGATTTTCTCTATCATGGTTT